TTGACATGCCCTACGTGCCATTATTTGCATTAAGGCATATAGGTTAACATAGTCCCTACTTTCTGCCAATACGTCTAATGTATCATTGGCACTTTTATCTTTTATTGCATTAAGGTACTACGCTAACATGCCCAATGCATTCTTAGCACATCTATCTTTAATTGTGTTAAGGCCCTGCTCCAACATCTCTAATGTTCCCCTAGCATATTTATCTTTCATTATGTTAAGGTTTTGTACTAACATGCCCAATGTGCCCTCAGCACCTCTCTTATTGAGTTAAGGCCTTGTGCCAACATGCCTAATGTGCCTATAGTACTTTTATCTCTTGCGTTAAGACTTCGCGTCAACATATTCAAAATCTCCCTAGCACTTCACACCTATTACATTAGGCTATGTGTTGGCACATAATAATCCAATGTCTTTATAAGAAGGTACATTTAAATGTCATTTTCAATAAACTATCCTATTTCTATTAGTATAATTTGATGATGCAACATCTTTAAGCTGATACTCATCTTTATGAATTTCTTCTCACTATAACTTGTAAAGTTGGCTAAAAGGCTACAACATTCAACTTGGAATTCTATCTTTTGAATAAAGAAAAGTTCAATTCACAATATGAATCTATATCACATTATCATATTCTATGATATCCATTAAGTTTGAAATTTTATCTTCTAGATGAAGAAAAGTTTATTTCACAATGTAAACCCATATTATTTTCTTATATCTTGCAGTTTAACTTTATTCAATACATGAAAACAACATCATTACTTAAAGCATAAATTCTGGCTCAATTTACACAAACCAGGGAAGTATAATCTTACTTTCAAAGTCTTTTATGTTGGGTTTATTCTCTATTAAAAATGGGTATCTGCAAGATTAGCACATCTTAATGTTGAGCATAATGTTGCTTATACATTCTAATCTAAGTAATATGAGTTCTTGAAGCACAACATCATTACTTGATATTTACTTTATTGATTTAATCTTAGTTAGAGATTAATTTCTACAAGATCAATATATTTAAATAAGGCTTGAGTTCAACCTGGGTATTTTGTTAACCCGTCTTTAGGTATCTAAAAGACATGGCCAACTTATTAGCCTCTATTTGGATCATTCTTACAAGTAAAACAAAATGAGTAATCCCCTTATTTTTATCTTGGCTATCTTTTGCCAATCCCATGGCTAAATCTCTTTAATAGTTTGGTCTTTTTCTTGACCATTTCCTGCAAGTAAGCAAATGGATAATTTTTTCATCTTTATTTCAGTCAATTTCAATGAGTGAATATACAGTCAAGTCTAGTAAATTATCAGATTGTTATCTTAACTGCCTTCACGAGTAAGCTGGTGGCTAGTTCTCTTATCTTTAACTAAACTGTACTATGTCAACAATTGTTCCCAAATCACAAAGCTAACTAAAGTCATAACTATAAAAAATAGAATAGCCAAATATGGCAAATAGAGCACGAAATTTATTTCATTGACATCTAAAAACCATATACATAGTCAGTGAAAATACAAGACTACAACTCAAGCACAAAAACTTTAAAAAATAGCTATGATATTTGTCTAGCCAACTTTTTCTCCAAGAATTCTCATAAGATATCAAGAACACACAATTGCTGGAGAGCCGAAACTCTCTATCTGATACCATAATCATTAGAGCTGTAATGGTTTGAAAATGTTCACTTTATAACCTCCTTCAGACCTGGGGGGCAATTGTTATACCTAAGTCAATCGGTCAATAGCTAGAGCTCTAGTTAATGCATCAAGGCATGCCCAAACAATTACATCACTTACCCCAAGAAAATGATCCACCACCTACTAAAGGAAAAGCTCACCTGTGGCCTCACTAATGTCTGTCTAGGTAGTCACTTCAAAACTAACCAATGGGCCACCAACTTGCCCTAGATCATTACATACCGCCCTAAGATCATTAAATGCAGCCCACACATGTCTGAGATCATTAAATGCAATTCTCATGTATTTGCATGGCCTCTTTAAGCTCCGCATAGACATCATCTCAATTGTTAATCATCTTGGTTAGATCATCACTCTTTGCCATAGACAAGAGGTAAAAAAAGACTAGGTATGCGGGGTAACTAAAGAAGAACTAAGCCTATCACTCACTCTCTCTCGAAGCTTTTTCTCTCTTGAAGCTTCCTTTACACACTTCATCATTTTTCATCTTCCTTACCTTATTTCTTGAACACACCCAAGGTAATATACTAACTTGAATGTCGAAGCACATCCACGAGTGACAATTCTAAAACCCTCTGACCATGCTTTTTGACTACAAGTTACAACTATTTTTTCTTCAATCTCATTCCCATCTCTTCAGCTAAGACATCAAAAAATATCATCAACAATTATCAAAGAATGCATTCATAGATGTTCATATGATAATTTAAATTTTGTGACACGTCTTAATTTATTGAGCTAATAATTAAGTAGGAAGTAAGACAAACTTATATAATAATTTTTCAAATGTAAAAAATGAAAAAAAAAACCAAAAAAGGAATGAGAACCCCAAAAGAAAAAGGTAACGGGCCTTTCTAGAGCTCGGGGAATCTAAACCATCCCCTCCCAACTTTTGACATGCATGTAGCAGCCAATTCCCAAGCTTTTCAAAACCCAAATCCAATACAAAACAAGCAGCTATTATTTTATATTTATGTTCGTAATTAAGAAATTTAGATCATGGCTTATGGTTTCAGTGCACTCCCCTCTTTTCAAGACCTTTCTTTTCATCTTAGACTACATTTTTTTTTTTTTTGTTTTTTTACTATAAAGTGGATGCATTCTCAAGGGCTAATCTTCCTGGAGAGATTGGAGTGGTCAAATCTATCTCCCTCGCTCTTAACAAATTTCTCTTTCTATATTGTGATTCCAATCCCTTTCGTTGCTTTCCGCAATGGAACATCAAATCGTTTTTATATAAAATTTTAAATTGAAAGACAAGTGCTCAAATTACAGTCAGCAAAGCAACCGCATTTCAGCAATTGCGGCACTTTGTCTCTGTCTGTCTTTACTCTAAAGTCTTTGTTTTCTTGTCAAAGTTCCTAGAATCTTTTTTCTTTTGTAAGATGTTTTGTTATTATATTTATTAATATAAATATCTGTTTAAAAATATATTAATAAAAATTACGTTTATAAAATTATAAAAAATATTATTATACCAAATATGGTTTCTAATTACACAATCTTTTAATAAATATGAAAACTTTCTTGATTCTTTTAACATTTTATATGTAAAATTAAAAAAAATACAAAAATTAATATTTTTATACGATTAAAAAGATAGTTAAAAAAATTTACAAACAAGAAAAATAAATATGCTTTTAAAAAATGAAATTGAAAATTTTGTGATTGAAAATTAATTGTGTTTTTATAACTTTTTAAAGTGGTTTTAATACTTTTTTTGTGTTGAAAATATTATAAGATAACACGAGATAAAGATTTAAAGTAATTAAAAATGAAATAAGATATTAATGAAAAAAATTATAATTAAGTAAAAAAATAAAATAATGTCAACAATTGTATGATTTATTGATAGAGTATCAAATTTTTAGTTGATAGAATATTTAACTTAGTTTAAGTGAATAAGATTCAATTTTTGACAAAATAGAAAAGAAAAAAGCACACATTTAATACTTGGTTTGACTTTGTATTGTTGAGAAAATTAAAAAATTAAAATAAAGTGACTGTAATTTAAAATTTAAAATAAAACTTTTAATTTTGAAGATTTCCAAGAAATGATTAATAACTACAATAAAAAGATGTAGTTTTAACTTTCTTAAAATGAAAAACATAAAATTAAATTACAAAACTATAGAAAAACTAATATTAATAGCGTTAACTTGAATGACCATGAATGACCATTTAAATTTGTTTAACATAAATGCATATATATACTAAAAGGTTTTAAAATATTTTAGGGTGTCAAGACCCCCACAGCCATATATGACGGTCCTCCCCTGTAGCCCAGCAGGAATCTTGCTTAAAAGAAACCCATATCTAATTCATAATTGCAGTACAATTGCCGACTCGCATGGGTTTTCTTCTCGCTCACAGGTTCCTAGCAGATGGCTAGACGCAATTCTAATTCTGAATTAATGCTTCTATTGTTGAACATCAGAATCCATCAAAAACACCACAAACAATAAAAGCAATACTTTCAAGTTTAGGCATCAAATCTTCTGGTCAACAATTCTTTTACAGATAAATGAGGATGACCATAATAATTGATTGAGAGGAAAAAAACAATAACTCTAATAAAGGGAGATTTTAATTTGTTCGATCGACAATCAGATATGAGCATCTAATAGAACAGTTTACCATTTCAAAACCTTAAATTAGGACAGTTCATCAAAATTTATAACAGCAAAATCTGCTAGTGGTTCCTTTGACTTGGTTTTTGTCAGCAAACAGATAATGGTAAGTAAAGCCAAAACAGGTGCCCGGTACTGGCTCTTTACTGTCGTTTATGGTCCTCCATTGACTATGGACTCATTTGGATTTCAATAAAATGCCTTGGAATCCAAAGAGATTTTAATGTAAAATTGGGGGACCAAAACTTTCGTTGCCTCTTTAATCTGACATCGATTACTCTAATGTAAAAGTAAAAAAAATTGGTGGATTTTCAATTATAATAGTTGATTGTTTTTGGTGTAATAATGTTCTGGTATATCCAATTTTATCATTATAATTATGTTAACGGGTAAACACAGTTGTATCATTAATTTTAATTACAAACTTAATCTGACCATTTTAATATTCACTTTCATCGTCACTATTATTTTTAATCTCATTAAAAACTAATCTAATCAAAATAAACTTAAGGGGGAATTCCACAACTTGAAGTTGCATTGCTACAATTACTGCTATTTCTGAGTTATTGAATGAACCCCTGTTTGTCCTTTTCCCAGTTGAAAATCAAATCAAAACTGTAAGCTTCTGAAAATTCAACAAGCAAGCCTAAAACAATTTAAAATTGATTAGTTTAATGTATATCCTTTGATTCATTCAAATATCCATCAAACCAATAAAAAGAAATGGAAGTAAACCCCCTAACTAAAATCAAATGAATTTCTCCATTACCATGCCACTAACAAAAGTTTCCTTCGATTTACAAACTTGGGTGTTTTTTCTTTCTTCATTCGTAGAGAGAAAAGAGAGCAGAAGCAAAATCCTTAGAAGGGCATAATATGGGTAGTCTTAGTATCATAACTTGATAAACAAGACTTAGAATTAACCCGAAAAATCTTGAGCAAATCCGCCGACATTTGCCTAACCGCAGGAGAACAATTGCTCTGCATCAGCAACAAGAACTTGGTCATCCCGTTGCCACTAACCACCGCTTCTTGTGCTTTCTCGTCTCTGAACAAATAACAAACGCTCCAAAGTATCGTCACCGCGTGTTCCGTCGCTTTGCTCGATACTTTCAACACTTTCTGCACAATCACTTGTAACAATATCGAATCATGCCAAATCTCCACCCTCCCTTCTTTGCAAGACGACAACGTTTCCAGCAGTTTTAATGACTTCTCGATTATCGAAATGGTCGTGTTTGGTTCGGATAAGAGGTTCTTTAATTCTGGGATTGTTCGAGATTGGATTAGGTTGGTTTTTACGCGTTTTGGCATTGTGATTGCTATCAAACAAGATAAGCTCGCTTCGATCAAACTTGGATCCTTCTCTTTACTTAATGATTTGACCAATTCGGGTAACAACCCGTCCTTTTCGGCTATTTTGAGCTTGGACTCGCCATCGACCGCGATGGACTCCAGTAAGCGAACCGATTCGATTTGCGAATCTGAACTCCCTCGTTGCAAAACCAGAAGAATCGTCGACAAGCAATTAGTTTCCAACAACGGCTTCTTGTCCGAAATTTTATTCAACATCAAATCCAAAATCTTAACAACTTGCTCGATTAATTTGATGTCCGATTCCGCATTCCTCATGAAATCGAACACCGGTTTCAAAAACCCGTCCATTCTAGCGAGGAATTCGCGGTTCTCCTCAGATTCTCTCACGAAACAAACGATCTTCGTTAAAGATGAAAAGCAACTGTTGTCAAGTTGTTTGACCAAGGCTTTGACCTGATCTTGAGAAGGAACAACTACTGAGTTGGCCGCCGAGTCGGCGTCGGGTTGACGGCCAGCGACTGAGTCGGACCACATCTGGATGAGTCGTTGTAAATTCCGGTTCGGAACGAATTCTTTGCTTTGGAGAACTTGCATCGTGGCCGGACACGTGTTGTTGCCGCTGTCTAGCCACCGCTGGATGCTGGTTCGGTCATATGTTACACCTGTGCATAAGCTCACTGGGGATTTCATCACATCCAACGATATTGGACACCGAAAAAAACTTGGAATCGTAATGTACAAATCGTCTCTTCGCATTTTTTTTTTTGTCTTTTCCTTGTTTGGACAGCAAGAAAGAAAGAGAACAACGAAAAATTGAGAGATAAAGTGGAAGTGAAAAAGAGTTAGAGAGGAAAGCGGGACAGTGGGGGTTTAAAGAAGAGAGAGAAATAGTCAAAGGTATCTGACGTCATCTTTCACTTTTTAATTTCTTATATATTTTTGTTTTTAATTTTTTATTAAAATGTTAAACTAATTAACATTCAACTGGCTTCAATCAGATACGATTCCATCCATGGAAACAAATTTGTTTTTTCCGTTAAAATCGGATTAGGTTTTGGAAAAAAAAAAAAATCTAAATCGATGTAAGATTGGAAACGAGTTTTTATATTTCATTTTGATTTATTTTGAATATATATAAAGATATATTTTATTATTTATTTAATTTTTTATTAATAAAATTATTATTTAATATTTTAATTGAAACTATTAATTTATTAAAAATATTAAACTTATATAGTTGTATAATTAAAAACAATATTTAAAATCATTAAAATTTAAAATATTTATTTTAATATAAAGATTAAAAAATATAATATTTACATTGATATAAATAAAATTTTTTTTTATTATAATTAATATTAAAATAATAATTTTATAAATATTATATTAAACTAAAATTATCAAATGATAAACAATCAATTAAATTAAATATAAATTTTAAAAAAATGTCAAATATGATTATTTACTATCAAAATCAAATATAAAAATGAATGAAAACGAGACAATCGATAAAATTATTAAAGCCCTCGCGACCCACCTACTGTCATCTATATTTTTGAGTCATTGGTCAAAGGAGAGTGAGCCTGTGAGGCTTTGTGGAATTGGGGTATCATTAAGCGCGTGTAGTTCATATTTCTAGATTGAAAATATGAACCGTCGTAATGTCAGAAATGATGTTACGGATCATGGATAAAATGGACGGTGCAGATTATATGGAGGACTGATCTGGGGAAGAATTGCTTATTTTTCTAATTTAATATTTACTTTTTAAAAGTTATTTTTGTGAAAATTTTGTTTCTTTTGATTTCTCGTCTTTTTCGTTCTTCCTTTTTTTTTTTTTTTGAAGAAAATCTTCAGTTTGAAAATTATCGAATTATTGGAATGTGATTCCGTATTTTATTTGGTGGAAATTATATATGATTTGGTCAAACAATCATCAATATCTTAAGGTTTAAGCAATTTTGGGTGTTGGGGAGGATATCCTTAAGGATGAACCTCGCCTATTAAGTTGGTGCGAAGCTATTACAAAAATAATTATTTGATAGAAGAAGCTAGATATGAAAATTATGTACTAACGAGAGTTGAGGTTGGCTCAAGAATTAATGTTTGTTCAACTTTGAAAATAAATTCACTTTAATTCTTGATTGACTATTGCTTCATTTAGGGTTCAATGATAAAACTACAATTTCGATATCTGAATGAAAATTATTTTAAATATATGATCTTGATATGTATGTAATTTTTTAAAATAATTTATTTCTATATTTCGGATTTTATATGTTACAATCACAAAAACTATGTGAAGAAAGGAGCCAATATTAAGTCCAAACTTAGGAGTGACAGAGTTTTAATTAATATAATGATATATATAGTTGGAGCTTAAATCATGGATTCAGAATTAGGTTGTAGGTTTTGTTAAAGTTGAAAGCAAGACTAAAATAACTTGTTGCAAAAGCTGCCAATGGTGGAAAAATCTGAAGAGATAATTTCTTGTCAAGCTTGTTTTTAGACTTCGATCAAATTAGTATATGTCATCAAACCAATTAACCAATTATCAATTAACCAAATAAAATATAACTAAACTATCAAATTTATACAATAAAATTCCAATTTAAGATTTTGAAACTTTAAGATTTCGTTTTTTGACCATTAATTAAGACCGCTCATACCTAATAAGTTAATAATGCTTTATACTTGAAAAAAAAAAGTATTTCGAAGTGGAATAAAAATTTGGCTTTGCTTTATTTTGTCTCATCTAAAACCTAACAAGTAACTATACTAATATATATATATATATATATATATATTGTCAAATTGTGCAATTCGTTATTTGCAATTACCAATCAAACGAGAATTTAGTCTCAACATAATAATTTGACCAAATCAAGCTCTTTTTTTATTTTTTGAGATTTTAATTTTAAGTCCAAATATTAATTCCATTAAAATTACACAATTAATCTTGCTTAGTGGCAAATGCAAGTTGATTTTTATTTTTGAATTCTGGACAAGCATCAGGATAAGAAAGAAGATTAGAGAGAAGAAAAAAAAAATAAATCAAATAATTTATAGAAGCTAAAAATGGTGCACACTCAAAAAATGAATAAAGGAAAAATAGAAAGAAAGGAAAAAATTTATGTCATCATACACTCAATAAAAAATAAAAACTAAATGTTATTTGTCACATAAATATATACTTACATGGCAAATATTACGGAGATGAAATCATGTTAACTTGTTAACAATTGAATTGAAATTCTGAAAAGTATAAGTATTTGATTTGATCATACTATCATATAGGGATTAAATCTTCATTTTGATGAGAGTACAAGACGAATTACATAATTTAACTTTTTTTTTCACAACAATTTTATAAAAAATTATTTTTTTATGGTGTTTTAACTAGACGAAAGTTGGTTGGAGGTTAAAGGTGAGGGAACTTGGTCTTATAGCCAGAAAACATAGTTAATAGGCATCGGAGTTGATTTTTTTGAATGCGTTCTAACATTCAAGTCAGTAAAATTTTTTAAGATTTTGTGAAGAAAAAAGTGAAGTATATTAAGGAAGCTAAAATGGAGAAGAATGCTTAAGTCTTACATACCTATGCGATAAAGGACGGTGAGTTGACTGAGACAATTGACAGTTGACTGTTGATAATTGATAGTTGACAATTGACAATTGACAATTGATGATGAGTCTATATAGAGCTTGAAGAAAGACTACATGGATGACTATAAACTGCATTTAATGATTCTAAGCAAGTATGGATTGCATAATGATCCTAAGCAAGTTGAAAGTCAAATGTTCAATTCTGAAATGATGCCTTGATGAGACATTATTAGAGATATTGGGTGAGCTTTTTCTTGGTTAGAGACAAGCCAATTCTAAGATGAGGGTTCTGGTAGGTCAACCCTTACTGGTGGTGATGTGGTAGTTGAACGTGCCTAGAAAGTTAACATTGTTGACTGAGTAAATAGATATAACAATTACTTCCAAGTCTGAGGGCGGTTGTAAAGTGACTATCTTCATACCCTCAGCTTAAAATTTAAAAAATTATGCTTGGCTGAGAGGTATTGTTGTTTTAGCGAGCTATGTTGATAATGTCCCTAAAAAGCGATGAGTACTTTCTTGGTGAGTTGTGTTGATGATGTGTCTTTGTAAGGTGAGGAGTGCTCTCTTGGCGAGCAATGTTGATGATGTATCTTTGCAAGGCGAGAAATGTTCTCTTGGCGAGCTATATGATTTGTTGAGGTACAGGGAAAAGTAGGTAGGCACTTAGGAAAATTTTGATGTGAAATGTTTATTTACTATGTTGATCGTGTGTAGGTATAACGCGTTTGTTAGGGTAGTGTGAGGTATGCATTTGTGTTTTTGAATGGTGTGGCTATTCAAGACATATGGTACAATAAGATTGGAGAGTGGTCAAATGTAATTAATGGGTTTAAATTTTAAATTGAACTGGTTCTTTGAGAGGGAATGAATGTAACTTTTTTTGAAATAATGGGTAAACGAATGGTTGAGTTTAAAAGGATTACTTTGGACCATTTTGGAATTTGATTGAAATGGTTTGAATTGATACCATTTCAATGGTGTCATTTAATGTTGAAACGGTCTCCATTGGTATTGTTTTAGTTATGTTGTTTGGCTAGGTATAAATAGGAAAGTTAAAAAAATTTTCAAATTCATTTCTACAACTTATTATCAAGAGAGAACTTTGTTGTTTGTTATGTTGTTCTGCTGTTTGCTCTCTTTCTATGCTATTTCAAATTTTTTATGGATAAAAAATCTTTTGTTTACTTTGTTGTTGTGTTTTACTAGTTTATTGGGTGTATGTGTATGTGGGTATGTGTGTGTGTGTGAGAGAGACAGAGAGAGAGAAAGAGAAAGAGAAATGGCACCAAAGAGGATAATAGAGATTGGGAATTCTAATGATGATGAGGAGAATAGGTATTGTCTTGGATAGGTTAGGGGTAACTTTCTTCAAACGAAGTGGGAATTTTTAGGGTTTTCAAAAGGAAAAGGTAAAGCTTTCCCTTGCATGGAGTCTTTCTTGTGGGGGTTGTTAGGTAGCTTGCTCGTACTATTGAAGTAACCTTTGCTGGGTGGCTACCTAGGCATTTAATTGTTGGATTTGGTTCATAAATTCATGGTAGAACTTTAGGGGGGAGTTGTTGTATGTTGTTTCGGTATATGAGGATAAATGGTGCTAGTAATGTAACATGCATAGTAGACGTGGCAAAGGGAATGTTTTGCCAATGAGTGATATTAATAGGCTATGAAGATTAAACTTGTAGAGAGGTAGTTAGGAGGTTGGGTTTGAGGGTCTAGCAGTTATGGTGTGGACCAGTGGGGGTTGGGGTCATATTTAAAGATAAAACTCCCATTAGCTTTTGATAATACTCCATCAGTTATGCAGTCCATACATTTAATGATATTTAATTACTAGGGACTAGGGAAATAGGGTCATACATTGGGTTCTATGAAGGAAGGTTTGGTGATGTGATTTATATGGGAGTTGGTAGCATAGCTGCTGCATCGGAGACAACTATAGGTTGGGTGGTTGCATTCATGGTTGGTGTTATTATTTTAGAAGAGTGAAGGGTGAGACATGGTTGTTTTCACTTAAACAGTGCCATTTATTTATGGTAATTTTGGGTGTCTTAACAGGTTGAAAACTAGTTGGAGGTTTAAGGTGAAGGAACTTGAACTTGCAGCCAGAAAGCACAATCAAGGGGCATTGGAGTTGGTTCGCCAAAATGTATTCCAATGCTCAAGTTTGTGAAAGTATCTAAGGTTTAGTGAGAAAGAGGATGAAGTGTATTGAGACAGCTATAATGGAGAGAAATGCTTAAGT